AGAACCGTGGATTGAACTCAGGCCCTTGTGCTTGCCGGGGAAGCACTTACTCCACTGAGCCATCTCCCCGGCCCCCTAGTTAATTTGTTAATCAACATAAGTCAATGGATTGAGATAAAGATTTGTTTCTAATTACTTGGTTCAAAAAAAAAAAAAAAAAAAAAACCAACTAAGCTATTTGTTTAAAACATTCTATATGCTGTTGTCAGAAAAAACGTTGAAAACACGAGGACCAGGGAGACGTAGTAAGAGCTATTTCTTTAACTTTTCCTTCATAAAGCATCTGCTAAAGTTGAGTTAAATCTTGCTAGAAAAAAAATACTTGTAGCTAGGTGCAGCAGTGTATGCCTGTATCGTAAAGGCTGAGGCAGAGACCTTCTAAGATTATGAGTTCAAGACCAGCCTGGACGATGCAGCAAGACTCTCTCCAAAAAGCAAAGAAATGGAAAGACGGCCTTCTGACATAGACAACATACTTCCCCAGAACATGTCCATGTGTGCTTCTGACTTATGAGAATGAATGTCGCCTCTCCCTCAATTTCCAACCAAAAGCTCACATAAATGACCTGCTTATTGAAAGTAGCATTTGAAAATGTAACAAGGAAGTGCTTGCCGGGCAAGTGCAAGGGCCTGGATTCAATTCCAGGTTCCGCAAAAAAAAAAAAAAAAAAAAGAAAATGTAACAAGGACAGAACCCATAAAAAGTATGGAAGGGGAACCAATGCGTGTTTGGTTCTGTGGAACTAGTTCAGGCCATGACTGTATTCCTTGTCAGCACATTCTGGGTTGTTCCTCTGTGTGGCTGGAAGGGTGGAACAGGGGCGACTGTGGGGGAGGGAGGAGAAGCAGAGTTCACTGTGCCCGGCAGCACCGCAAGGCAGGTGCTGGGGTACCCGGCGGAGGCCGCTGTGGGGGGAGCAGAGAGAAGCACTTGCTGCATGTCTCTCAGGGCACAAGCTCTTTCATCACATGCAACTTTATCCATTTAAATAAAGATACATTTGGTTCATTTGAGCTTTACCGTCTGCAATGATCATCGTGTCTTAGGTATGAATCCTCTGTAGCTACAAACTACACCAGATAAACAACTGGGGTGTACTTGTTTAAACAGGGGTGGCTGTTAGGTGTTGTCGCCCACAGACCTGCAGGGACAATGGACTTCTAGGAAGCTTCTAGGTAGGTAGTGTGTGCTACCGAGCAAGATGTGTTTATTAGAAGCTGTGAGGGACTTTGGGTCTGATGCCGTCCCCAAGGTAACACTGGCCACTTGAGGAGTACTGCCCTGTGGTGGGGGAAGGTGTGGTGAGCCAGGATGAGCAGCCTGTGCTGTCACCGCCCACAATCGCTATGTATTGTGCTCCAAGAGTATCTACAGTTGCATGGTATATAACACTTGGGTGTGCAAGGCACGGGCATTTCACAGTTGTGTGTGTGTGTGTGTGTGTGCGCATGCCGTATGGAGAGGCAGAGAATGCAAGCAGCGTTGCTGACCACCCCTGCAAGGAGAACACTGAGCAGCTCTCCACAGCATTCACCTCTCGGCTGCCCCGTTTCTAGCCCGTGCACCTTGAGGTGGAGGCGCGCACGCGGTACCTGCACGATGGCTCCTGCATGGTGGTGGAGTGCTCGCACTTGCCGTGCATGCAGAAGCCGTTGTAGTGCTCCGGACAAGGTATGTGGTGTTCTCTGGCACTTTCTTCTAATTTGTTAGCATTCTCTGCGAACAGATAAAAGGGAGCAGCCTCTGTAAATGCTTTCTTAGCCTGGGAAGATCAACCAGTCCATTAAGAAGCAAAGCTACGGCAGACAAAGTTATCAGAAGGGCAAAAGAACTGAAAGGCTGCGCCTCAGACGCAGGAGAGAGAAGGTGCTGAGAGACAGATGTTGTCTTCACAACCGCGCTTAGAGATGAAGCCGCAGGACTACCTGGAGCATTCTGTGCTTTCATGCGATTCCCTACGTCTTTAATAGCGATGTTTCCAGGAGTTAGCAGGCAGTTTTAATTTTCCCTGTGTACAGACCATACATTGGTCATAAAATAATCCAAGAAGAAATATTCTATTTTTAAAATTTCAAAGCACACTCTAATGTTCCTAAGAGTCAGCTGCTGCAATCCTTGGTGCTTTCTCAGTGTGAGAGCTTCAAAGCTAAAATGTGGCCGCATCAACTGTCACACGGACACTTTCAAAGCCCAATGCAAATTCCAACGAACGCATTTTTTCAGGTTTTTTAAATCTACTGTGAACACGATTTTTATAAGCATCCATACATTCTTTATTGCCAAAATAAAGCTATGGAAAGAACAAATGTCATTTCAGAATTACTTAAGTAGCTATTCATACAGCACATACTGAATGCTATAAGCGTATTTTAACATGCGATATTTGGCCAGTATTAACAATGTGAAATTCAAACTTCTAATGCAAAGCTTATTTTCTAAAATGAACCCTTCCCCTTGTCATTAGTAAGTTTTTTTCTCAGGTTTTAATAAAGGTAAATATTATTCCTGGCCTTGCTTGTAGAGATATGTTTATTTCACATCTGTAATGTCGACTGTGTTTTCTTGACTCTTTATATCTTCATTTTGTAATACAGTTTTGTCTTTTTAAAGTGTCTCCTATAACTTGAGTCTGCCACTCTAAAATTTCTGAGAAGTATCAATATCTTGGTCCCAGTCTAAAGACAGTATTCAAAACCTAAGTAGTTGGCCAGCAGTAATAAAAAGTAACAATTACTGTTTATGAAATAGATTCTTCCCACATAGAAGTATAGTATTTATGGAGTGTGCCCTTATATCTTAAAATTAATTTTCATAAGTAGTCATGGATGACGACCATATTCATCAGGAACAAACATACCTCTGGTATGAGTGAATCAGTATTAGTTGTCTTCAGGCAGAGGTGTAAAACACACATATGTATACATTTTAAGAAGGATGGGTTTGGGGTCAGCCAAATAGCTCAGTGGATTAAAGCGCCTGTAAGCAGGTTCAGGGGCTGGGGTTCAATCCCCGGGGCTGCCATGCTGGCCCTGCCCCTGGGGTGCACTGAGATGGCATTTGAGATTGGGTGTGGTGGCACGTGCCTGTAAGCCCAGCTCTTGGGAGGCTGTAAAGAGGAGGATCACTATGAGTCCAATCTAGTAGTGAGACCCTGAACACCTTATAGACCCTTCCCTAAAATAAAAAAAAAAAAAAGATAAAAAAGAATAGATGGTTCTCACCTTGCTGGGACAAATACCCAACATTCAAAATGAGTGAAAGTTTATTTGGCTCACAGTTGCTGGAGGTTTTAAGACACTGGAGGAGAGGCTGGGGCGCTGCTGTGTCCAGGATGACCCTCTCCACATCTCCAAGAAAGCACAAGCTAGCCAGTTTAACGGTTTGCACCTCTGACCTCGCCCCATTGGCCCCACCCCAGTCCTCTGGCCCCGGGGGCCTCTCAAGCCACTCATTGCTCTTCCAACTGTGTCTGCCCCATAACTTACATGAGGCTTTGGGGGGACAGATGGCATCTGCAAGTCATTAAAGTTTGAAATATTTTTTTAAAATTTACTAATTTATTTATTTGGTGCAGGGTCTCACTGCACAACTTGGACTCATAGTGACCCTCCTGTCTCAGTCTCCCCAGTGCTGGGATTACAGGCATGTGCCACCACACCCAGTTTCAGTGGTTGGCACGGCACGGGACCAGCATGGCATGCAGTACCAAGGATTGAATCCAGGTCCTCGCACTTGCTAGTAGGTGTTTAGACCACTGAGCTATCTCTTGGGCCTTGAAATAAACTGTTAAAGCATAATATGGGGAGCTATTGAATACTGTGATTTTTCAAGTTACATACCCAGATTTATAAAGGATTTACAACATGATGTTTAAATTTATAAATTCTTATTTATCTCATAGTACAGGTGACTTCTTAGCCATTCATTTGTTCTCCTGGATGTCTTCAGTTAGGGTAGTTGGCAATTTTTTGCCTTAAAATACTTCAACAATTACCATTAAAGTGAACAAACTGCTTCTAAAAGGAATACTGTGAGTACCTAGTAAGTTCTCTATTGAGTCTTTTCTCCTCAATTCTTTCAGGTTATTTTTGAATTTTGTGCATGGTGTTTTGGTAGCAAATCACAGGCATGGTGTGAACACCACAAGTGAAGCAGATATTCTGGGGTACAATTTCCAACACGGGGCAATCTGACCAAAGTGGAAGCAAGGTAAGTGCGACATTTTGCAGTGGCTTGTGGTCCTTCCTGGCCCGTTGTGAGGACTGTGCCCAGGAGGCAGTGGGCTCGCGGTCCCACCGCTGATGTGCAGCAGCGCTGACTGACTGTGGACCCTCTTCCCACAGCAGAGGACTCCACACTTCTGTCCTGTGTCTGCGCTTCAGTGCTTCCGTGCCCACCGACACACAGGGGAGGTCATCTTTTCATCTGAGCAGCTTCTAAGCACACCTTATTAGGGCTGTCTTTCTTTCTTCAGGAGATCGAGAACCTTCTTAACTCCAAATCCATTTCTTTGGCTCCATTTGGTTTTGGTCTTGGGACCTCACCTCACCCGGGCTGTCTCCCTCTCTCTCTGAGCTGTATCCACAATTATGCACTTAAGTCGGGGGCAGAATCAGAGCTCACCCGAACGAGGCTGCTCACTGCCTTAGTGCAGTAGGGGCTGGACTCTCAGAGAGGTTATTACCCAGGCAGTGGTCACGTGGCACAGAACAGCTTCCATCATAGAATCTGGTAATGAGTTTACACTGTTTCTTATGAGCTTGGAGTGCTCTGTTATGCTGCTCATTCGATACTGACAAATAGGAAAGCACAAATATTGAAAATAAATGAGGAGAAGAAATGATCCCTGGGCAAGGAAATGAGGAACCATCAATATATGTCAGCAAATTTATAGTCAATCCAACCAAGTAAACCGGTTGATTGAAAACCTGAATATATAACCACTTCTAGTAATGCAATAGACATACCTTCGAAATGAGATTTAAGTATATTAAGAAAAGTAGAAACCTACAAATCTAATATCCCAAACAAATATGTGTATGGACCGTGGTAATCTGGAAATTTATATTAAACAATAATAAAGCATTTTTAGAAATTTAAAATTATATAAAAATGATACTTGGGAATTCTGTACTTTTCCTGCAGAGCCTGGTAACTTGGCTATTGATTTCTTTGTCCTCCATTGAAGAAGAGGTTTAATGTAAAGGGCTGTGTTCCCTCTTCTGGAGGCCTACTGGTGATGGTAGAAACTCTTCACATCTCTGTTTAAAATCCTCAACCAGTTTTCTGTTTAAGTGTTTGCAGATGGTTTTCTGTGAGAAAGGGCTGGACCCTTTTGAGACAGCTTCTAGGATCTCCAGTGCTGCAACAGGGCCACACCGCCAGTGCTGGTCTGTGCTTGGCAAGAGCTCTGAAGTGGGCTGTTCAACAGCACAGACACACGCAGTGTTTCTACCCTCCAGCTTGCAGGGTGAGAGACAGTAAAGCCAGAGATGGAGGGATGGCCGGTGGCGAGGCCTTGCCTTACAGCACAGGAAGCGGGAGGATCATGGCAGCTCAGGCTTGACACAGCGCAGAGTGGGGTGTGTGTGTGTGTGTGTGTGTGTGTGTGTGTGTGTGTACACGCGTGTATTTACCATTGCCCATGCTTGCTTTTCTCCTCAAATGCAAGAAACACAATATTTAGAGAATTAATCTATCAGAGCAACTGATTATGGAACAAAGCATACACAGGACTATGAAATCAGAGTAAAACAACCTTTATCTCTAAACAAGTTGAGTTTCCTTTGGACAAGGATTAGAATTTGGCCAAGAAGTTTTAAAAGTCAAATGATGTCATCTATAGAAGTACTCTTCTAGGGGTGTGTGTCCTGGGAAGGAACTAAACTGGCAAACGTCAGGTGTCGGGCACAGAGACAGATGAAACTACCACACGATTAGCATCTGGCGTTATTAAGCATTTTCCCAGTCAACCCATTTCTCTTGCACAGATGCGCTGCTGTCTAGTCCTAAAATAATCTGACTCCCCTCAGCCTACAAATGGTGAATGGCTTTGACAGTCCTGCATGAATACGGTGCCCATCTGACAGTCATATATTTCATTTGAATCGATTGGATCTGAATTGTTGAGTGTAGTCCTCCAGGAGAGGCAAAGGGCAGCCTCCTGCGGCCCACTGAGTTTGGGAATTTGTAAAATCACACTGACAAGAACATGCAACTTCCTAGGCTGGAAGTCCATCTCTGTCCATTGTCCGTCATAATCTAGAAGGACCTGTGGGGGGCTTGAAGGCCATTTTTTTCCCAGAGACTCCTACCTTGCTTTCACTGGGCCTTTGTTTCAAATGTATACATATCCTTACAGTCACTGACCCCCCCCGATGGATTAAAAGATCTTGTAGAAGAACAAATATCAAGTCCACAGAGATACCTCAGGGAGGCAGATTTCTACTGTGTGTTTTGAAGCAACTGGTGCTGTGCAGTAGAGCAAGACAGGGAGCTCCTAGTGGTATTGGAAAGGAGCTGGATTCACATTTCTTCCAGGTACACTGGGAGTGGTACTGTGCGGTAGAGGTTAGATTATTTCAGACTCTAGGTGCTTTAAGATCTTAATGTAGTATCTATTTCTATATTAATATTTGATTATACTACATTACTAATAAGCATTTACTATAAAATACTAGTTTTGATTAGCGGGACAGTGACGGTGAACCTTTTAG